AGAGAGAGCGAGAGACAGACAGACAGACAGACAGGCAGACAGAGACAGACACAGATAGAAATACCTAGAGCAGCCACTCAAAAACTATACATGAAGCAAATGGAATTCTTTTTTTTTTTTTTTGGTGGAACCGGGGATTGAACTCACGCCCTTGCACTTGCCAGGCAAGCGTTTATTCTACAGAGCCATCTCATCCCTGGCCCCCAGCAAATGGAATTCTAAATACTGTTCATATAACTCACAGGAAATCAGGAAAAATAGAAAACAAACACAGAGAGCAAACAGAATTAACAATAAACTGACAGGAACAGAAGCATCAATAAGTTATATTAAGTGAAGATGGTCTAAATGTACTCATTGAAAGGCAGACATTAGTAAAGAAGATAAAAAACATGACCTAATAATATGTTGCTTAAAATGTAATGATTTAGGAAGACTGAAAGGAAAAGACTGGAAAAAGATGTATCATATACATACCAACTTAAATAACAGCAAGGCTACTCCAGCAATATCCGATAAGGTAGACTTTAGAGCAAAGAAAATTCCCAGGGCCAGAGAAGGATGTTATATTATGATAGAAGGATCAATCTGCCAAGAAGGCAAAGCAATATCAGAGTTACAAAATGTAGGAAGCAAATGTTATTAGATCTAAAAGAAGCAGACAAATTCACATTTCTAGCAGAAGACTTCAATGTTCTCTCAACAACTGATGTAACACCTAGATATAAAGTCAGCAAGATACAGAAGAATTCAGTGACAGAATTCAAAATGACCTAACTGACATTTACAAAATACTTCTCTCAAAAGCAATTATATTTACATTTTTTCTAGAATTCAAAGTATATCAGGTTAGACATACTTTGGACAATAAAATAATCCACAAATATTTGACAGACTCAAAGCTAGGTGGTGTGTGATTTTTATCCCTACTACTTGGGAGGCTGAGGCAGGAAGGCTACAAGTTTGAGGCCATTCTGGTAACCATAGCAAGGCTTTGTTTCAAAATAATATAAAAAGGGGGCCGAGCGTACAGCTAAATGTTGTAGATGATTATGACTGATGCTGTAGATGTGAAAAGAATAAGCAGGTAAGAGGGTAGAGTGACCATAATGACAGTATAAAAACTGAGTATTATTATAATTTGAAAAATATTTTTTAAAAAATCCAAAAATGAAAGCTTTAGGCCCACACTGACTCACTAGAGAGTGACCCCCAATTGTGTAAAGATGAATTAGAGCTAAGGCTACATAAACTCTTTCAGAAAAAAAGGGAATACTTCCCAGAACATTGTATTATCCTCATATCAAAGACAAAGATAGTCCAAACAAAAGTACAGACCAACATTGCTTATAAAAATAAATAGAAGAATCCTAAACAAAGTTCTCGTCATTTTTAAAAGGAACCATGCATCCGGGGATATAGCTCAGTGGCACAATGCCTGCCTGGCAAGTGTGAGGTCATGGGTTCGCT